GAGTTGCATACTATACTTTATCTACGATCATTAGTTTTTGGGTACATTTTTGAAAAATATCACGATACGTTCACTAAGTGACGTGCAACACGGTAAAATTCAAGCCGTTGGTAATATTTCCTGTAAAACATCTGGTTGTTGCCCAACTTGTAAATATTCCGAAAATATCCGAAATGGGTTGCCAAGGAGTAGAAAAAATGAATTGAATACAGTAAACTTTGACTTAGTTTTCCAAGATCTTGAATAAAGTGGGTTTGGAATATTATTGTAAAGCACCCAGTAACGAAAAAGTGAAATTGTCAGCCGGCTGCAAATTTGTTTCTGAGCATGATTAGTTTTCAGGTGATTGCAAACCAGTTGTGGATATTTTGTTTGCGATCGCGAAATTTGTGATCTTTTAAATGAGTGTCAGTGTCAAAGTTCTTTTATGTTTGGTTGGTGCTCGTTTATGTATGATATTTTTACTATATCACAATTTAAGTGGTTTCACTTAAGAAATCAGGATTATTTTGAGGCGACCGTACCGCGGTATAGTAAAGCTGATTTTTTGAGAATTTTTTTAATTTCTAATTTTTAAGGTGCTAAAATTATTACGGTATAACTTTTATAGCAAGTGCTGATAGTGTATACTAGCTTCCGCCTGTGGAACTAGAACTAGAAGAACTAGAACTGATAAGTACATCATAGAATCGATCAAAAACCGTTCAAATTTAGAATAATTATTTAAAAATTGAAATTTTAAAATTAAAAATTCAGTTCATTTCGTAATCGGAAAACGAAGCAAATGCGCAAGAAAAAACGTAGAATTTCTTACGAGTATGGTGTGCCTCAAAGTATAATGTCTTGGCTTTTGACGGCAATTATCGAAATTACCTGCCGACGGCAATAAAACACCTGACTAGTCGGTAACGTAATGGCATTAGGACGGACATTTAAGGTGTTTTAATAGTATAAAGATTAAATATCAGATTCACTTTATTTAGGTACGTCAAATCACCTTAGTACTAATAAACGATACGATGATAGTAAATATAATAAATTATCAATAATTACCTAGATAAGTACGTTTTTTTTTTCATTTAATTTCCTGAACGTAGGTACTGTAATCTGCCAATGAGCAATCTGTCTCTCTAGACGGTAAGATCAAACTTACTATCTACCTATCTATCTAAATTAATCTATCATATTGGCGTATCTGTAAGTGCGCTCAGCAAAAACCGACGCAGGAGGAATCCAGAAGTTTTGTAAAAAGCATGGTTGGTTGTTTGTTGGGTTTACCCAGTAACAACAGATGTGACCAAAACAACATACGCGGAATATTTTGGTGGTTGCAAATCGGTACGAGATCGGTAATTTTTGTTTTGTGAACGCCGGAATCTTGATCAGCTTCTTGGAAAGCTTTAAACGTCAAGCGGATGGGTCATTTATAACTGATGTGTGAACGAAGTTATTATTTTTTTAGAAAATCAAGACTGCGGTGGCCGCTGCTGAAAAAAAATCCATTAACCATTCGCCGTAACGTTGATAATAACTCGGTAATATTTTCAAACCGTTGCGTTGTGCGGACGTAAAACAAACTCAACAGTTCCAGACTCCGTGCTCCGTCGCATCGAGACGCAAACCCGCAAAAATGCAAATCCGCGGGAATCAATTAGATGCGTTCCGCTGCAATTTCTTGTGCAAACTTCAATTTCGACACTCGCCGCTGCCATTCGCTAACAAAACTAATAAGTAAAACAAAGTTACAAAGCGCAGGGGGGGCTCCTTTGTTAAAACATTTTACGGAGCGAAATTATTCATTGTCGGGCACATTTCGACTCTCTCGGGGACTAAATCTTCGCGACAAATGAATTTGCAACAACTTTTTACCGAGATTTATATGAGTGCCCGTTTTGCCGTTGCATCTTGCCTTGGACAATTAAACGAGTCCAATTAAGAGCGACGAAATTATTTCGGGATTCTTTTCCCGTCGGACGCAATTTGCTACGTCGTTCTTGCTTAATTGAACGTTTATTTTTCTTGCTTTAAGGTGGCTTATTTGCATCGGCCTTTAAGGGGAATGATTTTGCGGTATCTTTAATACCAAGTTATATGTTGGGCATTTTTCTTCTTCTACGAAACGTCATATTTATGCAAATAAATTTTAAATTATTGTAAAAATCTACCATGTGGACACATTCAGTTTAAAATTTAGACTAAAAACCTTATTAAACTACATACACAATAGGTAATGCTAGAAACCTGCCAAATAGAAGAATTTTATATGCATTGAAATTGACAAATTCGGATGTGACGTCACGATTCCCTATTGTCATACCAACGAGGTTAAATCGAATTTAACGCGACGCTATTGTGCCGATTTAAACAATTCATTTTTTGAAAATAATTCAGCCTCCACAACGGGAACATTATCCGACTGCTCTAAACGAGTAAACAATGTGAGAGCTTAACTTAAAGGCCAACAGCATGATTGCGACACGTCAGCAAGTTCAGTTAGTCAGCAACCATCGCAGGAAGAATCCAGAAGATTTGTAAATAGTATTACAGTAGCCTACAGAAGTATCTTTGAAGAGTTTAGGTTATTTTAGTTATTAATTCCCATGGTCTGGGTGGACTTTAAGTCAACAAATTTAATAAAAATGTTTTTTCCAAGAAAAATAATTATCAGATGGATCTCAGCAGATCATTAAAAGCTGATTTATGATGCGTTGTCTTAAATTAAAAATTTATGCAAGTTATAAAAAGTCCGCATTAAAAGAATTACGCTCAATGCAAATATGCTTTCAATGTGAATACGCTATTAAAATATTTTTTTCTAAGCTCTACTCCAAAATAGTCAATTGGCCAGGTATTAACCGCGGGGAAGTGTCACTGCAAACCTTAGGTTCGTTACCCACGATCGCAAGCCACTTCGAACATTATCGGTACTTTAGTCACGGATTTGGGAGCGATCGAATTATTCGTGCTGTTTTACGTAGTATGCAACACGATCATAAATTTCTTCAGTCACTCGTTTATTAATCAAGCTCCAGGCTAAAGTGACGTTTTCCAAACTTGTTGATCTTCGGATATTACCCACGGGTTTGGGAGCATTCCCATGTTTTCCGACAAATAACGAACTGCTTGAATTTTGAAGTTTGTTAATTCTAACGGTCCTGTCACATATCACTCAGTGAATGTATACGTGTTGTTTTGCAAAAATGTACCTAAAAACTAATTTCTTCTTCTTTCTAATTCCAATGCCGTTTACTATATTTGTTACATGATATTCATCTATATTTAAAATCACTGAATGTTACTAAACTATAAACCAGTCAACAACTAATTATCATCTTTTTTTAAAAATATATCCTTTCTGGTCGCACTAGCGGCTTAACAAAGTTACTTTCAGAGAAAAGAGTATTATTTCGAGGTTTTTCAGGTATGATGACTACGGCATATTCTGAGCTGATTTGGTTTGGGTCATCCAAATTGTTACGAGAGCGCCGACGAAACAGCCTGAGAAGCATCCTTTGTGGGATCGATGAGTCCTCACAACTTGCTTTAAGTTAGCCGTTGACTTAATTGATCCATGTCTTTACATCTCCATGTCAACCCCAGAATTTTTATCCCTTGGGATTGAAAGAAACAAATAGAAAGATTTATTTCCTGATTCCTGTGAAGCACCTGTTCCCGACGACGAAAAAGAAACGCGACTTGCAAAATCTATTTTCGCGTCCGCCACTAAAATTTTTTACCGTCCAACGAAAAACATATTCTTTGATCCGCCCAAGGGGCGGCGGAATCCATTCCAGGTATCGTTCGGAGTAAAACCTTTTTCACCGGCCTCCCCCCAATTGAAATTCAGAACGTTTCGTGTCAGAATTCAAATTTCCAAAGTAATATTTACGGGCGTGTAGCTAAGGGCAGAAACTTTTAAGTGGTTCGGACCATTTGTCCGGCGGAAAGGGTGAGCGACTTCGGGCTCTTACAGCGGTGACCATTAATAACCCACTGTCACTGAGAGTTTTCTTGTATCATTATCCAAGCCTTTACCGAAGGTGAGAGCTAAAAGATGGAGATTGTCCTTTTTCGGCGAAACAATGTAAATTGCGTTGGGGTCCCGATAGGAATTCTTAAGGAATTTGGTGTTAAGTTAAAGCGGGAAGCGATTTAAATTTTGAAATTGGTTCCGCGTGACGTTTGAAAAAGTAAAGTGGGGATTTACAACGTGCGCAAAAAGTTATGTATAATCGATTATATAATAATATCCATTAACACCTCCGATTACATATTCTAGATCATTTTTCCAAGGTAGCTGATTCAGCGGCCCAAACACCATTTTCTGCTTTTTGCTAAAAATTAATAGCGAAACTTGATTAGCGTACAAATTCTGTCATTATATATAATTATATTATTTTATGTTAATGGATTTTTATATGTATAGCCTATTTTATACATTTTGAAAAAAAGCATCTTGAATATTATATGTTTTAAAGAGATTATGCACTCTTCGTATTTAATTTCACTCGTTTTTGAACCAAAATATTACTTAATTTGTCGATTTAATTTTAATTTATCAACATCATTTGCATTTCTTCATCAAAAGTCAAGTCTGAGTACATGCTCGAAAATAAAAAATAATTATAGCGGATTCTGTAGCTGGACAACAGATTATTAAAATTTGACGCACCCTGTATAATCCCGAATCGTCATGTTTTTTAGCTCGCACAGTGTCCCTGATCATACGAAACAAAACAGTGAACAATCTATATGAAACAATACCAAGAGACCGCAAACAGGGACGTTAAAAATTAACAAAAAAATGTTCATTAACAGACTGTGGCAGCCTGTTCCGACAGTTTCGTAGCAACAAAAATTCCCGTTGGAGACCATCAAGCCTCGTAACAATGGCTTCGGTCCTGTCAGAAATGGCTTTCGGTGTAACGAAAAGTTTTCGTTTTTTTTCTGCGCCGTCGAAAGAAACGACAGAGAAATAATGGAGAGACCGGCAAACTTACCATTTTATTGTTAATCTCGTGGAAATGAATTTCACAAACTTTATCGACGACGTCCTCGCTCTGAAATGTGACGAACCCGAAACCTGAAACAGAAAAACTCCGAGTTAGTTCTTTTCAATTTTCATCCGGTCACGGTACGATGAGCGTTCGTTTTAAAAAGTTTTTGTAAAATATTATTCTATTAACTTTTTGTTCGGGGCAGCAAATCCTTTTTCGTGGAACTTCGGGAAAAGCTGGGGTCCGCGCGGAAAGTGGAAAGTATGTTTCCTTTTGTAGGGAGTGAAGTATAATTTACAGTTGGTAGTTTTTAAGTGGATAAGTTTTCGTTACGAAGATATGATATACGTTTTTATAAACTCAGATGAAGCGTTGGCTTCCTCTTTGAGCTGATCATTAGAAGTGGAGGGTAATATTAAGGAAACCACATTTGCTCCCATTTCTCTAGTTTCTTCTTAGTTTATATTTATGAAATTTCAATAAAAGACTTCGAAAATTCCTTGCAGGTATATTACTGCTGACGGAAACAGAATTAACGCCTCTAAGGCCTGAAATTCCATTACGACGACACTTCGCACAAATCATTCCAATTCTCATATGCTCATTACACATAAGAAACAGAATTATTTTCGGTAAAATCCCCAGAAGAAAGGGAAAGGAGAGCTGAAAAAGATTCCTGCAAATGTTTTAAAGGATTCTTCTGTCCGAAAGCAGCTCACAAAATTTGCAAGGTTGATGATTATTTTATTACGCATACGCTTCGTCAAAAGTATCCTCGAACAATATAGCAATATGCAAATATCAACAAAGGAACCACAATTTGGGCAGTGACGAACATAACTTTATTATTCCTAAATATTTATTGGTAAGCGACAGTACGTTTTTCAAGATGTCCGCACCTAATAGTTTTTTGTTATTCAATTTCAATAAAATTTGAGTTTGGCATTAATTTGCACTTCCAATTCGATTTGAGAAATTACTTTTTGATTAAACGGTATCAAAAGAACATCAACGGTTTAAAATATTATAATAGTTGTAATTGATGAAAGTGAAAACTAACAAAAACTATGTCATCGTAGGTAGATCAGGTTTTGTAAGAGGTGTTTTTTTTTCGATGTATAGAACTTTAAGTTGCAATAAAATAACGATGGATTATTCGATTTACAGGAATTTTATTTATCCGAAAGATAATCTTGTGGCATTACATTTTAAATATGATTTCTGGCATATGACCGCCACGGCTGGAGCTGGGGCGTTTGTGGCTTATCCGCATAGACCAATGACTTTACATAGCCCCACAGAAAGTAGTCTAGCGGTGTTAAACAAGATCTTGGAGGTCAATTCACAGGTCCAAAACGTGAAATTAGGCGGTCACCAAACGTGTCTTTAAATAAATCGATTGTGGCACGAGCTGTGTGACATGTTGCGCCGTCTTGTTGAAACCACATCTCATGGACATCATGGTTATTCAATTCAGGAATGTTAGGGTTAGTAATCATATCTCTATACCGATCACAATTGACTGTAACGTTCTGGCCATCATCGTTTTTGAAGAAGTACGGACCAATGATTCCATCAGCCCATAAAGCGCACCAAACAGTCAGTTTTTCTGGATGTAACACTCGAGGATTAGCTTCGCTCCAAATGCGGCAGTTTTGTTTGTTGATGTAGGTAGCCATTCAACCAGAAGTGCGCTTCATCGCTAAACAAAATTCGCTTATGAAAATCGGGAACAACGGCAAACTCGTTTTGGGCCCATTCGACGAATCTACGCCTTATATGATAATCGTTTTGCTTCAATTCTTCCGCAAAATCTTCCATAAAGTGGATGGACACAGATCCAATTCCTGTGTTCGATGGCGGATGGACTCTCTCGGGTCTTCCTCAATGCTATGCTCTACAGCAGCAATAGCTTCTTCGGTACGCACCGTACGGCGTCTCTGGGAATGCGAGTTATCAATAAGAGTAAACGTTGTGCCAAAACGTTCCATGGTTAATCGAATTAACTGCTTGATGGACGATTTTGTCGACGATAAAATGGACATAGTGCACGATACGTATTCCGCACAGAACCATTATTGTCGAAATAAAATTGCACTATTTGCAAGCGTTGTTCAGGCGTGAGTATATTCATGATGAATTGCTAAACCAAACTGAGAATAAATCACTTGAAAGCTGTTAAATCGGTCGCCATCTTGAACACATCGAAAAAAACACCCATTATAAGGACGTAAATAATATTGGAATGGAATTCCATGTTATTCTTACTAATACTACTTATAACAATACTCGAATTTTATAATATAATAAATACATTTCTATACCAATTAAATTAATATGAAAATTTGAGAAGGTTCAACAAAAAGAAACATGATAAACAGCTTTTCTATGCTAAACGATGGCTAATTTCCAAAATTCCGTTAAGCCAACTTCTGTTTGGTATCGACATTTGCAACAAGAAATGTTAAACTTCTCCCCCCGCACTTATTTCGCGTCCTTCAATAAAAAGTACTAACACTTTTTTTCCTTTCTGAATTTTCCAAGAAAAATACTGTTTTTTTGTATGACCATAATAGTTACGCCGGTTATTGATTGATTGATTGATTCTATTAATTCCAAAAACTGTACTTAATTCTGGAAAAAAATGTGAATTTTACTTCGTCGTCGGAAATAGAACATAGAACTTTGAAACCATCAATTTGTTTTTAAGCTGTCATTATGTACGTTGGTTGCATGGTTCCAAAATGTGCTTCCTTCTGCGCTGTACTTATGGAACGAACATAAAAATGCAAAAATCTTTCTCAAAACTTTGTCGTTAATAAAACTGTACGTTTCTAAATTCCGACTTAATCAGCATCAATATGAATTTTAAATACTTTATTATCCCCGTACGAATAATCCGATGGAGTGTAAAAAGGGACAGAGAATGAAACCGAGGAGATAGTAAAACTTGTTTTACGGCCCTTTCTTTTCGTATTTCGTTTTCGTTTAAAACAAAAGTTTGCATTGTAACTTTTCGTTGAGATTAACCGGATGGAACGAACTTTAAAGTACCGATGGAGACAGCCAGAATCTGCCCTCCGACTGAAGTCAAATATTTGCTTTTGAACAAATAAATATGAAACATTCGGAGGTTTCTCGATCGCTCATGTTTTATAGTAATATATCATATAACAACCAAATAGATTTTGTTATTAAAAAAACATCGTAAAAAAAATCTAGAGATTCTAGGTCTTGTTTTAGTATTAACTGATAATGCACAGGGTTGTTCATCTCCTTGAGAGTTTGTTTTATCCAAACACTTTAAATACAAAAGTTACCGCCATACAGCTTCTAACATTGATGCACTAAAAGGAACAACCTGTATATTTTGGTTATATAGGTTGCTACATCATAACACTAGATTTAAGTTATCGGTTACATTGTTTACAAATTTATGCACATTTGGCAAACTATGCAAAAAATGGAATTGTGGTCATAAAAAAATCAACCCCTTATTGAATTAACAGTATATTATGCAAGGAGTTTTATAAACGACACCTTGTGTCTAAAGAAGTTGCATACTATCATATACCCAATACGACCATTAGTTTTTAGGTACACTGTTACAATACATTCACTAAGTGACATGCAAAGTGACCATCAGAATTGAAAAACTCAAAATACGATAGTTATTTTAAATCTAGCGGTCGCTTCCAACTAATGACTAAAGTACCGGAAACGCTCGACTTTTTAAAGTGGCATGTTGCGCACGCCTGAACAGTGTACATTTGGGTATTTTAGAGAAGAGTGCAAAAAAATTGTCTTTTTTTATCTAGAAGCCAATGATTGTTTGAATACGAGTATAATGATGTATGTATCAGCGTTGCTAATATGCATCTAATTTTTTTCGTGAAGTTTAATATCCATTTTTTACACAGTGTGTGTAATCCAAATTGATAGTCGAAAAGACTGTTTGTGAACATTCAGTTAAATCTACACTTTATAGGTTTTCCAACTTGAATTCATTGCGAATGGGAGGAAGACAAAGAAGTAGTCGCGAAGCCCGAATCTTTGTTATTATGAAATACACAACATTAACAGCAACAAAATAACAGAAACTAACCAAAACTAACCAAATACATTTCTACACAATTAAAATGCAAAAAGCCAACAGCAACATTTCATCACGGTCAAACATCTAACGCCTTCCACATTAAGGGCCGGTCGAACAAACGCTGTGAACCATGGTTCACTGTTAAACTGCAGTTAAAAGTTTATCTTACATTTTTCGTTTGTGAACGTACCGTGCGTTAAACTTATCTTGATAAAATTTCAATTGGCTGTAACTTTTTTGTTTTTAGATATAAACAAAAAAATAAAATGTAAGGTTAATAGCCAAATTTTTTCAAAGTGACGTATAAATCAAAACACTGTTAATTTTCTGACATGTAAGCCTACATCATATATTTTTTAATGGAACACCCAGTATATTATACATTCCCATTACAACGATGTAACAAACTTTATATTTTAGTCCACTCGTTTTTGACAAATCGGCAAAAATAGTATATTTTTATATAATTTCCAAGAGTGCACTGACCGACAAATAAATGTTTGACATATTAGTAAACAACGTTGATGGTTGAATTATTGTCCAGGTCATTATTGTTAAAGTGTATATTTTCTGAATAACAAAAGTGCAACCGCCGCTCGTCGCCATTATATTGGACTTTATCCAGAGCGTCGAGTTCCTTCAAAACAGAAATTTCCGAGGCTGGCAAAGAAATTTTGAAGAAAAAGGTAACGCATTAAATTCCAAAAAGGTATGCAGGAATCATAATGTTTGAAATGAAGAAAATAATGCAAACACTTCACTTTCCTCTATTACTTGAGTATATGAAGAGACAGGTATTTCTCGGGGATCGATTTACTCAGCTTTGAAAGAATATAATGCATTTAAATTTCGAAAATCTTAAAAACTTAGTGCAGAACAATGTCAAAGGAGGATGTAGTTTTGTTTGGATTTTTTAAATAGACGTAATGAGAGTAATAATTTTTGAAAAACACTTTATGGACTGATGAAAGTGCGTTCACTACAAGAAAGGGTTGTAATAGATAAAATACGCTATATTGGTCTTCAAATAATCCTAGACAAATACAGGAAATAAAAACCCAGGGGTACCAATCAATTAATGTATGGTGGCATATTTTGGGTCCGATATTTATACATCAAAGGTTAACTGAAGATCGTTATTTGGAACTCTTAGAGCACCGGCTAGATATATAGAAGGTTTACTAATAAATATATCAGCAGCAAGACGATGTCCCTCCTCACAAAGTTGTGCAAGTTAAAAATTTTCTTAACATGGAATGTCCCAGGGGTTGAATAGGAAAGTGCGGAACTATGGATTAATTTTTATGGATTTTTTCTTTTGAACACACATAAAAAATCAAGTGCACAGAACTCCATGTAATACTGTCGTGGAACTTCGGCAAAGGATTTCAGAGGCAATCAATCAGTTAGGACACTATCCACTATCCGGAAACGTTACTAAAAGCAAGACATCATACAATTAGAGTGTATGAGAAATGTGTTCTGGAAAATGGTGGTCACATACAGCAGTATTTAGAATAGTTAAATAATTTTTTACTTTAGTGTGTATTGTCATTTTTAGTGTTTTTGTTCTACTTTAGTTGGTAAATAATTACTATTGCTACAATCAGTCAGAAATTATATAAAAATTTCTTATTTTTACCAATTTGTCAAAAACGAGTGGACTAAAATATAAAGTGTGTTACATCATTGTAATCGGAATACGATATTCTATTAAACACATACATAATATACAGGCTTAGAAAATTGATAGAAACTTGGCTGCTAACGCTACATTTTGTTTTTTGTTTACCTTGATATCCCCAAAAACAAAAAAATTACTGCCAATTAAAATATTATCAAGATAAATTGAACTCACGCTACTTGCTAATTAGCAGAACGGTTGTTTGTATCACTTTATTGCTTTATTAGTAACCAAATCCTGGATAAGTAATATGTTAAAAACCGACAAACATACGCTAAACATGAAAAAAAAATAGAAGTATAAAAATAAATTGATCGCAGTTTCGCGAAACTGAAGATCAATTTACATTGAGCAATATAATGACAAATAAACTTGATTTATCGCAGCTCCGTTGAACTTGTGATCGGAATTATTTTAATAAAACGATAAATCGACAATAACATTGCATTATTTCTTCTTCGATATTTCTTCATTGGTAATAAATGCAATATTAAAATTAAAATCGAAACATTCTGGGTTATTTTCAGCGTGGCAACATTCGTTTAAAAAACGACCGAGAAAATCCATTTACGAAGAGATTTAATGTGGTAAACATCCGAGTGGTGAAACGCTTCACGCTTCCTCGACTGTTTGAGATGAAATCTCTCTGTGATCGTAGCGCACGTTGCCCCGATAGAGACATGTCCATTTCTTTGTAATTCGAAATCTTTTATACTGCAGGGAGCCCAAGTCAAAGGTTCCCTTGTACCTGTTTAATGAACTGTATAAACTGCTGCATCGATCGTCAGAATTTTCTTTACGCGACCATTACGCTCTAAATTTTCGATAACGGATTTAGTTGAAGCTGCGACTGCAATTTATAATACAACATTAGGATATAGATGATGAAAGAAGAAACCTCGCCAATCTCGTTGGTTTCACCTCTTGAGAACGAATACATGAGAAGCAAAATTTATAAAGTTAAAAACTCCAAGTATTTTCGGAGATATTCACAAGAAAAGACACTTTTCTTTGTGTTTATTTCAACCATAATATAAAAGTAAATTGCGATATCTGTACAACTTCAATATTGTAAACACCGACATTAATTTTGATATGGTTAGTTTTTTTTTACTAAAGAAACGTTACTACTTCTCCGTGAATACGCATTATAGGAATTATAATTTTTGTATTTATTGTCTTTTTAAATTTTCGTGCTTTTACAATTATATTGCAAATTTAAATCATGGTGACATTAACGCAGCTATCTTCGCGATGATTAAAAATGGCAATATATGTTTAATACATCCTAGCAAATTCAACTTTGGTAGATCCATCTAGAAGCAGATATTCTAATAAAAAAATGTGACAGTCGAATACCATAGAAATTGTTTGATTACTATTGTTAACGTTCCATAAAAAATACTTTTGTTGTTTCTAAGGCGAGACCAACCAAATATTCAGGGCCGAATTCACGACCCAGCGATCTGGACGGAACTCATAAACTTTTGATTCCAACATTATATAACAATACGATTTTCAATTTTGGCGAAATTAGTTGTACCGCAATAAATATTTGCAAAGAAAGTATATTTTCTCTGTACGGATCGAGTGTAAGCAAACTGTCATTTGAAGGTGTTAGCTGCGTTATGCAAGTTTGCTAGAGCCATTTCGGATATTTCCTGTATTTTAGTCACCGGTTTGGAGGGCGATCGGATATTTTCGTTGGATTTTAGTATTGTATTTTGGCGATGCCTCTCACGTCGCTCAGCGAATACATTCCTGCTGTTTCGCAAAAATGTACCCAAAAACTAATGGTCGTATAAAATGTATAATTTGCAACATGTTCCAAATCAATTTCTAACTAAAATTACGCTCACCAAACTTGTTTAATACTACAAAATCAATATTTAAGAGAAAAGGATTGGGACAACAATTTCAATTTTTTTAAGGCCAATTGTTTAATATTGTTGCAATATTTGGTCATTATTTAACAATTTTTTGAATTTTAAGAAATGACCAAAACATTTTTTCATGAAAAAGAACTACTAAACTACAAATATTAAAAAAAAAAACTGTGTTGGTAAGAAACGTGTTAGAAGTGTGGTCACGCAGCAAGTTTGGTTTACATCCCGTACATCGTTCACCACAACTTCCTATCCCAAATTAATAGTTTCTGACTACTTCCTAATTTTTTGGTGTGTGTGTTATGCTGTACAGTAATAAAATAAAGAGGTACTACTTTTTCTTATTTCTATTAGATAAGTCAACATTTGGTTCGCAAATAGGAGTTTGTATATCTCAACAGGTTTAACTAAATGGAGTTAAAGTGGAAACATTTCCATTTGGCGAACTCTTGTCTGTATTAAAAACTTCGCCCATCACAAAACCTAATCAAAATTCCGAAACAAAAGTCATTTAGATACTGGAACCAACCGGACCAATCATGTTTTCCTCCGCTTCGCCAGCTACTCGAACACACCTCGGAGTAGCATCCTTCCAAAAAAATTACCCCCATTACCCGACGGAATCCCCACTTTAGTCGGTCCTATTAAAATTCCGCGGGGCAGTTCTTTCGAAAATCCATCGGCCTTTCGTCTTTTTTTTTTCGGAGTTTTCTTTCTCGCAACCCCGTCCTTCCTCTTTCCCATTGACAGTATTATCACGTGAAGTGGGTTTCCATTACTATGTAATGTAGAGCGTTTGTACGGCGAAAGGTGGGTGGAGGGATCGATATCCCCACGGATGACACTCTCCTCTTTTTCTTTCTCCGGCTTTTTATTATTCATGAGATATGATGAGGTCGGTTTGGCGCGGGATGATCCTTTGAGAACTGAATATTTGTGTACAATAGAATATGAGGCGTTAAATAAATAAAGTTTGAGATTTTTTTACGAGGGTCGCTTTTTAGGGCTTGTGTGTCTCCTGTTTCATCGTTGTGTCGGACGAGAATAGTAGAATACAAAACGGTATACAGTGTGTCGAAAAAAGGACGCACAGCGAGGGGCGGGGATCTCGGAAACGGTAAGACTTGCAGGATCGGTGAAATTCGGTTATATTACAGATATTTTAAAGGCAAACTAAAACTTCATTCACATGTAAGACAACCCCCAACTCCTTACCCTATTGCTTTGGCACAATATATAATATATAAATAAATAAATAAATTTACCGATATCGAATAATAAAGGGGCATTCCAAAAATATCGAATAATAAAGGGCTATTTCAAAAAAACCAAATGAATTGCGAACTCTCACTAACTTTTTTGCATTTGGTATTTTCCGTGCTGACTGCGATGATGAATGCAGAAAAGCAATTGAATATTTTATTTCGGAATAAGTCCAAAAAAACATTTTTAACAAATTAGACGCCCTCTATATTTTCAACTGTATTTGCAAATTGTTCGTAGATCATATGTATAAAACTGTCTAAAAAACCCAAAATAGAAAACATCGCCATATTGTTCAATACACTTTCGGACATTTTTTAATATACCTTTTGTAGTTTAACTGTTCCGACATACCGGTCGGCTTCTTAAAAAGGATAGCTATATCAACACTTTGTAGCAAAGTTCATGTTTATGTCACATTTTCAAAAAAATGTTTTAAAAGGGCGTTCCATTTTTTAAAAATGAGCATCTCTAACAATAAAAAAGTTGGCATTAATGGCCACTTAATTTGATACACCTTGTATATTATTTATTTAAATAAACAGTTATAAAATGAATAACAATCAAATTGCAATAATAGTGCACAACTGGCAACAATCTGTGTATGGCACTTTGAAATGGTTGGTATATTCTTAAACGCTTTCTTTGACTTTTTTTCAGTTTACATTTAAGATTTGCCTAACAAATTACAAGTTAACCAGTTATAACAATCCGCTGCAAGTTCCAAGAATATTAAAACGGATAAAAAACGATAAAAAGCGAAAACTTCAATCAAACAATCAAACCTTATCATTACTCAATATAAATTTTATAATTTTTTAATAATAGATTCTTAAACAATTTTTAAAGTTCAACCACAGGCACAGTATATGTAACGCCTTCTTTTCTTACATACACTACGTCTACTCCCATCAACAAGTTCACTCATACACAAGGGTCAATCAACAGAATCAACAATCCAAAAATTCTTATGAGATATTATTCCCTTCGGAAATAAGAAGAAAGGAATCAGCCGCATGGCGCTGATTTTTTCCCGCCTCAAAAGAGCAAACAAAAAGGTTTTATTTCATGTGGAGAGGCAAAAAATGACTTGTGACTCGCACTATAAAATTGCAGTATCGAATGAACGGAAAGACTCACAAGAAAGACTGGGGAAGAGGTGTGGAAAGAAATGAATATGATTATCAAGCATGTCGTGATTTCCTGCACGATCATGGGAAACAAATCTACAGCGACAGTTTTAGACGTTTTGCAATTTTCTCTTAGTGGTTTACATGGGAATGCTGCAGCAGGTCAGTATTGGGAATATTACCGCTTCGCACACTGGTTTGTTAACTTTAGAGCGCCCCATATTAAATCTGTCGGAATCAGTACCAACTGACAAGCATCACGAAGTTAACGTCGCGTCCCACAACGAACTTTTCCCCGGTTACTCAAATTATTCGAGGCGCGAACTTAATACCGTTTGTGCGTGACGTCGCTTGAGGATATCGCTCTCGCCCACCCCCGCTGTGTCGCGCCGCCGTCCCGAATGGAGGGTTAAAACTATCTTGTCTGCGCGCGTGTGTGTCGCCAACAGTTACAATAAACAACCGCGGGGCTGTTCGACAACTTTTCGTCGCTGTGGGAGACAGAGAGAGGGTCGTGATATGCGGGAGAGCAAAGGCGCCCCCAATCGAATTAAGTGATTACCCCAACGTTTGCCATATTGTCGGCTGTAATACCGGTTATCGTATTTGGAAAATGTTATCTAATAAAGAGGTACATCCCGAGAGTTTTGTGCAATAAACAGAACTATATGCGCTTCCCTGTTTCGTGATGTTACAAGTTCGATTCAATCTGCAATGACAATGATTAGATAGTTTAATCTTCTCATAATACAGTTTGACTTGCAAAATTCGCATTTTTCTCGCCACAATTTTAAGAATACTCAATTTTGCAGTATCCATAGAGATAAGAATGCAGGCGTTTTTAAAACAGCCCATACAAGTAACGTAATCATACTAGATTGAACAACAGGTAACAGACAAGATCGTACAGCTTGTAGTACAGTCATTTTCTTTACACACAATGCAACACCTCATTCTGCTGAAGTTGATATTATTACTGTTTGTTTTAAAGCCAGGTTTGTGATGCCTTCCAGAGTTTCAAAAAAGAAGAAAAAATCAATAGAGTAAATCGCGTAAAACGTGGTTGTTGAAGAGAAATAACATTCACATATGAGGTGGTTAAAAGTGGCGGAAGAGAAAGCAATACGCAACAAGTTATATAAATGACCCTGTAGTTAGAAGTTTCTTTAGGCACGGGCGGAGCGAGTGAAAAGATTATATCGCTCCCAAACTCGTTGTCAAAATATCGCAAATTTTTTAAGTCGCTCGCCACGGTGTTTAATGAAGCTGAAAAGTGACAAGGCAGCAAATACGCATATTTCAGCGCAAATACTTTCACTTCTATATATATAGAAAAAAAAACTTTAGAAATAGAAACTGATTGATTTGAATTGATTTATACGATATGACGTAGATAAAATATTATGTGTTACTTAGGATGACAATTTTTTAACTTGACTCAAATATAGGAAAAACTGATTTCCAAAATTAATGTTGCAATTGTGTTGTATAGTATTGTATTGTATAGCATTTTTTTCGACGACCAATAAAAAATATTGTAACCAAATTAAATTATGAAAATTTCCAGAGCAATACTGTACTCTAGTTAAAATATTAAGAATTAATAAAAAATAATTACCTGCTCACAGTTCCGAAAATTTTCAGAACGAAATGGCCGAAGTCGTAGAAGGTTTTCCCGTTGGGATTTTAAATTTCTGAATCATCTTTTTAACGATATTCCACAAGTTCACAGTTGTTTTTGAAATAACTAATCTTTTAGCTTGTTTATAAATTTATTCAGAATAATATTTTGATTCTTATTTAAAAAATATTACACATTATTCATTTTTAATCAGAAATTATTTATTTTGTTCTCATTACATAAACTGTTATTTTATGGCAGGCAGCAATCTGTATTTTAAATGGCGCGACCGTCCCTAATAATTTGCAATGTGAGTTTCTCAAAGCATATTGTTTTGGTTTCCCGACGGCACTAAACAACAGACCAGTCGATATTGTAAAACAAAGCATCATTGAACAGTTTAAAAAATATGAAACTTAAATATTATATTCTGAATATTGAGGTATAATAAAATAGCACTAGTACTAATAGAAAATACGATGAGGCCACATTTATATAAATTTCCAATTACCAACATATTATTAATTCAAAATCTAATTCTGTTTTAATCTCAGAGTCGTCATTAGGATTAATTAGAATGGGCAATATGTTATTTTGTATGCAAATGTAAAAATATTCAAGTTTTAAAATTTCATTTTGTAATTAATATTCTTAAAATTCCGTTTTTGCTTTTTGTAGGCCGTGGATAGGTTTAGATAGGCTTTATTTGAAGATGGTTTTTTTCAACAGTTTTTATCAAAGCAAGTTTCATCTAGGTAGTGTAGGGAATATATTTGCCTTATCATATCTCGTTCGCTAGTGTAAGATTAATTACTATTTTTTTTATTTCGTTCAATAATTCACTTTTAACAATATTTTTTATAGAAGATATTGACGGTTTTTTTAAGTAGGCATCCTGTAAAGCTTCTTATTGAATAAATTCTCAACTCATTAAACATTCATACATATTTTTCACAATTTGTATCATCTAATGGCAAGTCATTTTGAAGAGACGTAATGTAAAAAAAGTGTAAAAAGCATTTTCGATACGCACGGTCAAACTGGCTATTCAACGCTGCCAGAGATATCAGCTCACACGAAATCGACATCTCGCCTCTGTCTTATCTCGTACCTATGAATAAATCTTAAGGCTTTACGCAGTAACAATAGGGATGAAGGTCAAGATTACTTTTTGGGAAAGGGTCCGTCGAAAAGCCAACACGATATACTTTGTTACGGATAGAAAAATGACAGTTTCTTACCCCCTGTCGTATAATTTACACTCCAAAAGAGGAAAGCCACGTATCGACATGGTTTAAAATAACCCACAGACCCTTTAAACCCCTTTTCCCCATCGAGGCCTACCCAAACCAGGTAACACCGGGACATTTCATCGTATGGAAATGTCAACACCGCCTCACGAATTAGATGGGCCCCGCGGGTATCCTGCAAATGTCACCACTCGTCGGAGACGCTTGTATATACAATAATGACGTCCTCGGGGACAGAGGACGAACCGACGTCTTCAGTGGCGCAACCGCGGCAGCGGACACTGAATAAAACTTTTAAATTTCAATAATGCAAATGGCTATGGTCCGTGATAAGTATGCATGGACAGCTTTCCTTGGTTGGACGGAAATGGGTCAATGGAACACGTTGATGATGTTTGTTTAGTTTGTCGGGAATCGCTGATGAAGCCTGATCTAAATGGAAACCGTTTAACGTTTAAATATTGATATATATTCATTGTTATTTCATATCATCTATTAAAAACATAGAAAATATATTCAAGCAGTCATGGCAATAAAACATAACAATTTTACAACATAATATGCACATAAAACATAAAGCATAATACATAAAACATAACGCGCTATGTGGGCTCCTCC